AGCGTCCGTTCATCGGTGTGTTGCAGACACACACACCCCAAACACATGTGGATCAGTGGAGCACTCTTCAACCTACAATCTCTCCAATGTGTCACGTCAGTAGATGCGTCAGTCGTCAACTACACTGTCTCCACCCACTCAATCATTCAATCACTGAATCAATCACTCACTCACACTGACGAACATTCACGCAATAAAACACACACTGTACAAGTGAATTCTCAAACCTCAAACACACACATTGCACACGGATTTGAAGTGCACACACAACTCGTGTGCAATCGACTGGTGCTCACGTGACGGTTGGTGGTTGAGTCGGACGAGTGTTCGTGCCACAGTGATTCACGTCACGGAAACACCAACAAACAACACCCAACACACAAACACAAACACACACGCACACAGACACACACGCACACAGACACACACGCACACAAGCATGCAACCAATGCTGAAATACACATCACCTAATGCAAAATAATCATTGAACTCACTAGTCACGATGGATGAATCAGTCTGTGGATGAGTAGGTGTAGTTGATGTTGTCGGTTCGGATGATTGACTGGACACTTCGGACGGAATGTGTGTGCTGGTTTGTGAAGTGGATGGCTCGGTTGTGTGATCCGATGGAACACCTGACGTGTATGCAAACAAATAAACAGACAATCAATTCTCAGTGAACATCAACTCTATGTGGTTTCATTGACTGAAACAAGTGAACATCATTCGAGTGAAACGAACACCACTCACACCACTCACACCACTCACAACACTCACACCACCAGTCACGTCCACACTCACTGGTTCGACCCACACACTACTAATCACAATACCGAGTCACCTCTCACCGATCCATATCTGACCGCATCGATTTGCATGCAACACTCGTCACTCATCTCCTACTTGAGAATTCAAGCACAACGTCCAACCACACCGACACAAACGATCAGCGTCCGTTCATCGGTGTGTTGCAGACACACACGTTCCAAACACATGTGGATCGGTGAGGCACTTCTCAACCTACAATCTCTCCAATGTGTCATGTCAGTAGAGCCGTCAGTCGTCAACTACACTGTCTCCACCCACTCAATAATTCAATCACTGAATCAATCACTCACTCACACTGACGAACATTCACACAATAAAACACACACTGTACAAGTGAATTCTCAAACCTCAAACACACACATTGCACACGGATTTGAAGTGCACACACAACTCGTGTGCAATCGACTGGTGCTCACGTGACCGTTGGTGGTTGAGTCGGACGAGTGTTCGTGCCACACTGTTTCACGTCACCGAAACAACCAACACACAACACCCAACACACAAACACAAACACACACGCACACAGACACCACACGCACACAAGCATGCAACCAATGCTGAAATACACATCACCTAATGCAAAACAATCATTGAACTCACTAGTCACGATGGATGAATCAGTCTGTGGATGAGTAGGTGTAGTTGATGTTGTCGGTTCGGATGATTGACTGGACACTTCGGACGGAATGTGTGTGCTGGTTTGTGAAGTGGATGGCTCGGTTGTGTGATCCGATGGAACACCTGACGTGTATGCAAACAAATAAACAGACAATCAATTCTCAGTGAACATCAACTCTATGTGGTTTCATTGACTGAAACAAGTGAACATCATTCGAGTGAAACGAACACCACTCACACCACTCACACCACTCACACCACTCACACCACCAGTCACGTCCACACTCACTGGTTCGACCCACACACTACTAATCACAATACCGAGTCACCTCTCACCGATCCATATCTGACCGCATCGATTTGCATGCAACACTCGTCACTCATCTCCTACTTGAGAATTCAAGCACAACGTCCAACCACACCGACACAAACGATCAGCGTCCGTTCATCGGTGTGTTGCAGACACACACGTTCCAAACACATGTGGATCGGTGAGGCACTTCTCAACCTACAATCTCTCCAATGTGTCATGTCAGTAGAGCCGTCAGTCGTCAACTACACTGTCTCCACCCACTCAATCATTCAATCACTGAATCAATCACTCACTCACACTGACGAACATTCACGCAATAAAACACACACTGTACAAGTGAATTCTCAAACCTCAAACACACACATTGCACACGGATTTGAAGTGCACACACAACTCCTGTGCAATCGACTGGTGCTCACGTGACGGTTGGTGGTTGAGTCGGACGAGTGTTCGTGCCACACTGTTTCACGTCACCGAAACAACCAACACACAACACCCAACACACAAACACAAACACACACGCACACAGACACACACACACACGCACACAAGCATGCAACCAATGCTGAAATACACATCACCTAATGCAAAACAATCATTGAACTCACTAGTCACGATGGATGAATCAGTCTGTGGATGAGTAGGTGTAGTTGATGTTGTCGGTTCGGATGATTGACTGGACACTTCGGACGGAATGTGTGTGCTGGTTTGTGAAGTGGATGGCTCGGTTGTGTGATCCGATGGAACACCTGACGTGTATGCAAACAAATAAACAGACAATCAATTCTCAGTGAACATCAACTCTATGTGGTTTCATTGACTGAAACAAGTGAACATCATTCGAGTGAAACGAACACCACTCACACCACTCACACCACCAGTCACGTCCACACTCACTGGTTCGACCCACACACTACTAATCACAATACCGAGTCACCTCTCACCGATCCATATCTGACCGCATCGATTTGCATGCAACACTCGTCACTCATCTCCTACTTGAGAATTCAAGCACAACGTCCAACCACACCGACACAAACGATCAGCGTCCGTTCATCGGTGTGTTGCAGACACACACACCCCAAACACATGTGGATCAGTGGGGCACTCTTCAAACTGCAATATCTCCAATGTGTCATGTCAGTAGATGCGTCAGTCGTCAACCATACTTTCTGCAATCATCAATAATTCAATCACTCAATCACTCACTCACACACATTGACGAACATTCACGCAATAAAACACACACTGTACAAGTGAATTCTCAAACCTCAAACACACACATTGCACACGGATTTGAAGTGCACACACAACTCGTGTGCAATCGACTGGTGCTCACGTGACGGTTGGTGGTTGAGTCGGACGAGTGTTCGTGCCACACTGTTTCACGTCACCGAAACAACCAACACACAACACCCAACACACAAACACAAACACACACGCACACAGACACACACACACACGCACACAAGCATGCAACCAATGCTGAAATACACATCACCTAATGCAAAACAATCATTGAACTCACTAGTCACGATGGATGAATCAGTCTGTGGATGAGTAGGTGTAGTTGATGTTGTCGGTTCGGATGATTGACTGGACACTTCGGACGGAATGTGTGTGCTGGTTTGTGAAGTGGATGGCTCGGTTGTGTGATCCGATGGAACACCTGACGTGTATGCAAACAAATAAACAGACAATCAATTCTCAGTGAACATCAACTCTATGTGGTTTCATTGACTGAAACAAGTGAACATCATTCGAGTGAAACGAACACCACTCACACCACTCACACCACTCACACCACTCACACCACTCACACCACCAGTCACGTCCACACTCACTGGTTCGACCCACACACTACTAATCACAATACCGAGTCACCTCTCACCGATCCATATCTGACCGCATCGATTTGCATGCAACACTCGTCACTCATCTCCTACTTGAGAATTCAAGCACAACGTCCAACCACACCGACACAAACGATCAGCGTCCGTTCATCGGTGTGTTGCAGACACACACGTTCCAAACACATGTGGATCGGTGAGGCACTCTTCAACCAACAATCTCTCCAATGTTTAATGTCAGACGACGCGTCATTCGTCAAATACACATTCTCCGCTCAATCAATCACATATTCACTCATTCAGTCAATCACTCACCCAATCACCCACTCATTTTATCATTCACTCACATTGACGAACATTCACACAATAAAACACACACTGTACAAGTGAATTCTCAAACCTCAAACACACACATTGCACACGGATTTGAAGTGCACACACAACTCGTGTGCAATCGACTGGTGCTCACGTGACCGTTGGTGGTTGAGTCGGACGAGTGTTCGTGCCACACTGTTTCACGTCACCGAAACAACCAACACACAACACCCAACACACAAACACAAACACACACGCACACAGACACACACACACACGCACACAAGCATGCAACCAATGCTGAAATACACATCACCTAATGCAAAACAATCATTGAACTCACTAGTCACGATGGATGAATCAGTCTGTGGATGAGTAGGTGTAGTTGATGTTGTCGGTTCGGATGATTGACTGGACACTTCGGACGGAATGTGTGTGCTGGTTTGTGAAGTGGATGGCTCGGTTGTGTGACCCGATGGAACACCTGACGTGTATGCAAACAAATAAACAGACAATCAATTCTCAGTGAACATCAACTCTATGTGGTTTCATTGACTGAAACAAGTGAACATCATTCGAGTGAAACGAACACCACTCACACCACTCACACCACTCACACCACTCACACCACCAGTCACGTCCACACTCACTGGTTCGACCCACACACTACTAATCACAATACCGAGTCACCTCTCACCGATCCATATCTGACCGCATCGATTTGCATGCAACACTCGTCACTCATCTCCTACTTGAGAATTCAAGCACAACGTCCAACCACACCGACACAAATGATCAGCGTCCGTTCATCGGTGTGTTGCAGACACATACTTTCCAAACATATGTTTGTCGGTGTAATACTCTTCGCCCCATAATCTCTTTTATATTAGAAATTTTTTTCTGCCTCCTTGTCGTTATTTGTTTGGTGTATATTTCGATTTTTTCCTGTCTTTGTAATTTTTATTAGATTGATGATTTTGAGAATAATTATTTTCTGATATTTGTTTTTCATATTTCATATTTACTGTGACTTTGTTTTATTACATAATGTTTTGCGTGATATTTTATTGTGTGATTTAATATTGTTTGTTTAATTTTGTTCCAACGAGAGTCGGATACGTACCTGTTTGCATTAGTGTAGACTGTGGTGATGGCTGTGATGTGGACTCTGGTGTGTGCTGTGATGTTGACACTGACACTGACACTGGAGTTGAGACTGGTGTTTGCAGTGTTGTTGATTCTGTCGACTGGAATGCTGTAGTGGAGATTGTTGGCGTGGTGTCGATCAAGTGTGAGGTGGATGTGGTTTGGTCAGACTGAGTTGACTGAGTGATGTCGGTGACTGGTGGAATGGATGTGGAATCGGAATGGACACCTGTTGAGAAGGAGTAGTGGGAAATGAATGTGTAGAATTTTTATAATGACTTATTTTTTATGACTTGAATTTTTATTCTTCTGATATGTCTTTTCTTGTGTTTTCTACTATGTGGTTTGCATAATTTTTTTATCATTTACATCGTTGCATTTTATTCGGTTATATGTTGCATAAGTTATTTTTCGCCGTTTTGCTTTATCTGTTATCTGCTTCGATTGTCTTTTTAGATATAACTTATTTAGAGTGATTCGGCTTCTTTATATATGTGTTTATTGTAGTTTTACTGAATCGATTATCTTACTCATGAACTATGTAATGAATGTATAACGGTGCACTATAATGAGGAAACGAAAGACTCACCTAATGACGAGAACTTGTATAATTCTGTTGAGATTTGTGATTCAGTGCTGATGACGTGTTGGTTGGTAGTGAACTCTTCAAACTGAGTTTGTATACTGGTCTTTGTGAGTTGGACTATTGTTGTGGAGTCGGGTATAACAACTATAGAAATGTAAGAGAAGATTAATTTTGTCGATGAGTGAGTGAGTGAGCTATTACTGGGTAACATGTCAAGCAATTTTCTAAAGAAAATGGACTATGTAGAATACGTATTTGGAGTGTTGGATGATGGAGAACATATATTCTCACATATTCATGCTTTGTCCATCGCAATCCATTTTGTTGACTTCTCCACATAACCGCAGACACATGAAGGCTCATAATGTAATAGTTTAGCATAATACTTATTTATTATTGTGTTCTGTGATACAGTCTACTTATCATAATAATATGTATTTGAGTATCAATAGGCTACGACTGAACTGGCTCTTATGACAGATATTGTCCAACAATCTTGTTTTTGTATTCTAAATAAAACATTGATTGTCTACATAACTCGTGATGAAAATCCCTTAATTGTTTCACTTAAATCATACTGTCAGTATAGACGTTTTCCACTAATAATTCTTCAATCGACAGTATACAGTCATGAAGACTGATGAACACTTGGTGGAGGACGTTGTCGATATGTTGTTGAGATTTATGTTTCGCTTGTACGAGTTACCTCATTTGCTTATCTCTATTTCTCCCCATCTACTAAAACTCCAACTTGTATTCTCAATTGCTCAGGGTCTCTTCACTTACCGTTTTCATCCGATAAGATAAGTGTTCGCAATTATCATTAGCGCAATTTAACTGATTCTATGTTCACAAATCAATTTGTCGTGTGTTCGTATGTTTCCCTCTCGTCTTTTATTAACAAACGAAACCGGACACGATATACAAAAGTGCGAAGTCGAGACAATCAAATCACTTGACTTACCGTTAGTTTCTACATTGGATAACTGCAATTCACTGCTTGAATTCACTTGATTGTATCCTGTAACGAGAATGTTGTTGAATTCCGTCTGATTAAGTTCTGTTGCATTGGGTGACACGAGTTGTATTTCTGAACTCGCCTGTACACCTTGAGTAGAGTTTTCACTAGAGTTCCCTGTTGCATCGACTTGGCGTTTTTGATAATAGAATATAGTGACTGGTGTGAAAACAACCTTGTGACATTTTGCATCTTTTGCAATATCTGGATTGCCCAAACGTAAACTATCTAAAACCTGGTCATTGATGAGTGGGGAAAAAGAGAATTGTGATTAGTCTTGTTATTTTGCATCTTATACGACCGTAGTAGCTTCGCTGTACGCAACCGTGATCATATCTTTAATTATTTGATAGTTGTTCACTTTCAGTTTCGGTTTCTATACTTCATAATTGATTGAGAATATTCCGCGCCCTTCTTGACGGCTTGAAACAAAACTACTTTGACATTGATATGTGAAGCAGTCATGACAAACGTAGGCACTCGTACTAAATGTTGGGATGGTTATGACAATTCTTCAAAGGCATACCAGTCAGTGGATGAAAACAACCATGATGACGGACAACAACACTCTAGCAGTTGTCAGTATGTGAGTCGAATGATAAGCAATACGAGCTATTATTCCAAATGTCCAAATGTCGATTTGGTTCTATTGTGGATGTAAACAAGTTCCCAGTCGTCTCATCTTCTACATAACCGAGTGTTTAGTTTATGATCCACTGACTGTTGTATTTAAACAGCCGAAACAGAGTAACAACTGACCAGTTGATATAATGCTTACGTACACAGAATTGTGTTAGAACACAGCGAAGAATCTGTTCGATGCGAGATGTTCAATATGTTAGAATTATTATTGAAGTGAGACAAATTGGTCACTACATTTTCTTTTCTCCACTCTCCACTACACACATACTGAGATATAGGTTGACGGTTTTTTCCATGAGGTGTGATACAACTTTTGGAGAGTGGGAGTGTGAAGAGATTAAGTGACTAAAATCTTATCTTAAATGCATAAAGATTGGAATGAATACTGATAACGGTTAAACTTACTAATCGACAGAATGATTGTGACAGGTTTTGATAGATTTCAGTCAGTGGATTCAGCAAATCATCAGTCCATATGTGTGGTCTCGCTCCTTGATCCTTATACAACAATCCTTTTACTTCGAAGGCCGGAGCTGAAAGTGAGTAAAACAAACAGCTCTTCACATATCCTTAAGTTGCGACATAAAACAACAAACTTGAGAAAAGATATTTGTTGAAACAATACGTGTATGCAATTCATTGTGCATGAATCATTAGTTTTGATTTGTGGCTCCGAAAATGAGATCTGGATCATGTCCTTCCGGGTAAATGATGACCATGATACTGTTCGCGGAATATATTAGCACCAAATTCGATCTCACTTTCAGTGTTCTTGGTGTTTTGTATAATTTAATTAAAGTTCGTGCTACAAAGTCTTGTTAACAGAAAGACTAGTGTGTCGTGATGTGGTTATTAAGCACATAAGAAACTATTCAGAAGATGAGGATCTCACAGAAGTACACTAAGACCACCACAAGGAATAGGAATTTACATTCAATCGACTGAACACGATGTACATCTTATATTTGGATTGACAACACGGAAAGTAAATTTCACTGGATTATTTTGCCGTGCCATTTTACTAATATAAGTGAACAACGGGACTTATCATTCAAGCTCTGTATGCAAATGTGCTTGTCAACGTTTTCCAGATTGAGTGTTAGGAAACAAATGAGTCAGCGTACAAATGTCAAGCACATTGATTTGATCTCCATATACGTGGCTGTTTGAAATTAATGAAAACGTAAGAGGACATTTCATGGTACTGCCTGTGAAACAGTGTACAAAATGAAGTTCAACAATGGGACGAATATTGAAGAGACCTGATGATACCTTGTAAATATGTTTGAATGTGGAAGCGTAATAAGAAGTGTTTCTTGATGCAAAAATATCTAGAACTGCTCACAACATACAGAGCAATATGAGGCAAAATGTATTGATGTAAAAGTGAATTGAAGACGAATATGAGAGCTTGTTGTTATTGGGAGACTGAAAATGTGAAGATAAACAAACCTTGGTGATAAGAAAAAGGATACGAGATCAGAGCTGGGCACAAATGTTCAAGATTTAAGCAACTGGACTTGCAGTCGTATGACAGAGTATATTTCTGTTTGGTTGATATTAAGAAGACAATGTTAGTGTTTGAATGCATGAAATTATGTGAATACGAAGAGTGTGGATCGGAGAACACAGGCGAACTAGATTATGTGATGGAGAATGCATCGGAACTTAGCTATCACTCTCGATTTTCTTGTCAGTTGCTTGTGTGTTATGGTATATCGCAGACAGTCCCTAATTTATTCGTGTGCGTGCGTCTTATGGTTGGTAGACGATTGAATTTTGATTGGAGTGAATGAGTGTTAGATGAAACTGGCAATGCGATGCGTCCACGCATTTTGATATAAATCAAGTGCTTCGTAAGATGATGGGAAGGGTGATAGAGTGGTAAACGACTGAAGAATCGGTTTTAGAAAGAGGACTTGAAACTCAGAGAAACGAGTGCTGAATGAAACGTTTACAAAGACCACAAAGCCAGAAAAGATAGCTTTACTACCTACCAGCTTGGACTGGCGTTGCAGTAGATAACACCACTACCGAAGGCGTTAGTGTAAACGTGGATGTTTCTGTGCTGCTGAACAAACGTGACGAAGGTGTTGAGTATTGAGTATGAGTCGGGTGAGCAATGTCAGTTGTTGATGGAATGGTTGTGGAACTTGATGCATAATCTGTTGAAAACAAGTAGTAAGAATGAACTGATATTCAATGGGATAAAGATTGTGCGAAATGTACGTCAACATTAATGTGTAGAGAGGTGGAGAGAGAGACATAGGGCCTGATGTAGAAATAGGTTTTAATAACATGGAGGCAGAATGATGCTGGTGATGATGATGCAGATTAAGTAAGTGAATGTTTGTTCAAACGTGTTGGAGAGACGGCAAACTGTGAGAGTGTGAGAGCGTGTTGGTAGATTATTGATAGTATGGAGTAAATCGTTGACAGGAGCGACTGTCGGATAAGTGTGAGTTAGATTTCGACAATGACAGGCAGGTCCTGAACGTGTGGACAAGTGTGTATCTGAGGGTGGTTTTCCGTTCATGCTCACACACAGAGGGGAAATCCAGAGGCAGATTTATCAGTTGTGTGTCTGTGAAGTTGTACATGTGTTGTTCAATCATGGATAGATGTGTGCGGTTAGTTGAAAGACAGACTGGGTAATTGGGAAAGCAAATATGCCGACTAATTATGTGGGACTAAATTCGAAAGGAGGAGAATAGGTGTTAGTCAAGCTGTTACATTACGAGGTTGTAAATTGATATATAACATTTGTAGTATAGTGTATCGGTGTTGAGATGGTAACTGTCCGGTATACCAGATACACCTGGAGAACGAAGTTGAATAAACAAGTGTTCATAATCATGGGTGAAATGAATTCTGTGAAACAAGTCAAGACACCGTTATCCGGATACGTGTTTGTGAACATCAAAATCTGTCGAATACTCGACTACATAAACGTGAGAGACAGATGGTCATTTCGGTCCACAATGACCAGAATGCACAAATTTGAACAAACACGTTGCTTAAGATTAAATATACATAAAATGAAAAAACAGTGACTAAGTATATGTGTAGCAAATGAAATGAGTGCACGAGCACATAAAAAAATGACAAAACGGAAACAGATTAATGAGATATGGAAGATAATAGGAAATACCGTGTAACAAGTAAATGAGCGCTACAGTGTGCAGTAGCATGACTCGTTTGGAAATATTATATTTCCATGAGTATAATGAATGGTAACTTTTTGGATCCATTAATGGACCAATACTATACGTATATTTATATCGTATAGTTTTTAAATAACTTAACTGTCCATATTTATGTTTATCTTATCATAAGCTTTATTTTGACTCATGGACTATTGTTATACGACTTACCGTTCTTAAGTTACACCTGGTCTATCAATTATTATCTCCCACATTCACAGCCACGTTCGGCTAAATCTTGTTGTTTCCTATTTTATGATACGATGTGATCTGTTTGGTTGGTATATAAACCCAGTGTGTTTAACATGCATGATTCATATAACATAAGCTGAGATCGGTGTTCTGGACTTAACAAGCCGGGCTAGGCAGGAAGCAAAATCGATAAGGGTTCTCGACTGCTCGAAATTGTTTTATGCGTCATTGGTCCGGGTGATAATTCACTGTTTTCTAATTGGCGGTATCACTACGGCGTACAGTAATAGCACAGAGGGCAAATGTTATAACACGAAGTGAGATTGAGATAAGTGAAGAATGATGTGCCAATAGGACATCAATATTGTGTGTAGTATATGTGAGTGTCGCGATTCGAGTGATTGTATTTTGATTAGTAGTTTATGTGCATTTGAGAGGGTAGTTCGGTTGTTAAGTCAAAAAATATGTATTGGGAGAATGTTACTAAATGTTGTTTATATGTGTGTGCGTATGCACATTGATTATTCGAAATTCCATGAGATTGTAAATGAGTATGTGAAGTGCAAAGAGCATTCGGAATTTCAAGGTAAGTGTGATTGAAAGCAGTCATACAAATAGTATAATAATGTGAGATGGTTCAATGAAAATAATTTAGAGCGAAACAGTTACCAAAAAGATGGGGATCATTGGAGCACTCTTCAACCTAAAATCTCTCCAATGTGTCACGTCAGTAGATGCGTCAGACGTCAACCACAAAATCTCCACTCACACAATAACTAAATCAGTCACTCACACAATCACACACTCAGTCAGTCAATCACTCACTCACCCACACATTTTATCATTCACTCACATTGACGAACATTCACACAATAAAACACACACTGTACAAGTGAATTCTCAAACCTCAAACACACACATTGCACACGGATTTGAAGTGCACACACAACTCGTGTGCAATCGACTGGTGCTCACGTGACCGTTGGTGGTTGAGTCGGACGAGTGTTCGTGCCACACTGTTTCACGTCACCGAAACAACCAACACACAACACACAACACACAAACACAAACACACACGCACACAAGCATGCAACCAATGCTGAAATACACATCACCTAATGCAAAACAATCATTGAACTCACTAGTCACGATGGATGAATCAGTCTGTGGATGAGTAGGTGTAGTTGATGTTGTCGGTTCGGATGATTGACTGGACACTTCGGACGGAATGTGTGTGCTGGTTTGTGAAGTGGATGGCTCGGTTGTGTGATCCGATGGAACACCTGACGTGTATGCAAACAAATAAACAGACAATCAATTCTCAGTGAACATCAACTCTATGTGGTTTCATTGACTGAAACAAGTGAACATCATTCGAGTGAAACGAACACCACTCACACCACTCACACCACTCACACCACCAGTCACGTCCACACTCACTGGTTCGACCCACACACTACTAATCACAATACCGAGTCACCTCTCACCGATCCATATCTGACCGCATCGATTTGCATGCAACACTCGTCACTCATCTCCTACTTGAGAATTCAAGCACAACGTCCAACCACACCGACACAAACGATCAGCGTCCGTTCATCGGTGTGTTGCAGACACACACACCCCAAACACATGTGGATCAGCGGGGCACTCTTCAACCTATAATCTATCCAATTTGTAATGTCAGAAGTTGCGTCAGTCGTCAACTACACTGTCTCCACTCACTCAATCACACACTCATTCATTCACTCATTCACCCAATCACCCACACATTTTATCATTCACTCACATTGACGAACATTCACACAATAAAACACACACTGTACAAGTGAATTCTCAAACCTCAAACACACACATTGCACACGGATTTGAAGTGCACACACAACTCGTGTGCAATCGACTGGTGCTCACGTGACCGTTGGTGGTTGAGTCGGACGAGTGTTCGTGCCACACTGTTTCACGTCACCGAAACAACCAACACACAACACCCAACACACAAACACAAACACACACGCACACAGACACAGACACACACGCACACAAGCATGCAACCAATGCTGAAATACACATCACCTAATGCAAAACAATCATTGAACTCACTAGTCACGATGGATGAATCAGTCTGTGGATGAGTAGGTGTAGTTGATGTTGTCGGTTCGGATGATTGACTGGACACTTCGGACGGAATGTGTGTGCTGGTTTGTGAAGTGGATGGCTCGGTTGTGTGATCCGATGGAACACCTGACGTGTATGCAAACAAATAAACAGACAATCAATTCTCAGTGAACATCAACTCTATGTGGTTTCATTGACTGAAACAAGTGAACATCATTCGAGTGAAACGAACACCACTCACACCACTCACACCACTCACAACACTCACACCACCAGTCACGTCCACACTCACTGGTTCGACCCACACACTACTAATCACAATACCGAGTCACCTCTCACCGATCCATATCTGACCGCATCGATTTGCATGCAACACTCGTCACTCATCTCCTACTTGAGAATTCAAGCACAACGTCCAACCACACCGACACAAACGATCAGCGTCCGTTCATCGGTATGTTGTAGGCACACACGTTCCAAACACATCTGGATCAGCGGGGCACTCTTCAACCTATAATCTATCCAATTTGTAATGTCAGAAGTTGCGTCAGTCGTCAACTACACTGTCTCCACTCACTCAATCACACACTCATTCATTCACTCATTCACCCAATCACCCACACATTTTATCATTCACTCACATTGACGAACATTCACACAATAAAACACACACTGTACAAGTGAATTCTCAAACCTCAAACACACACATTGCACACGGATTTGAAGTGCACACACAACTCGTGTGCAATCGACTGGTGCTCACGTGACCGTTGGTGGTTGAGTCGGACGAGTGTTCGTGCCACACTGTTTCACGTCACCGAAACAACCAACACACAACACACAACACACAAACACAAACACACACGCACACAAGCATGCAACCAATGCTGAAATACACATCACCTAATGCAAAACAATCATTGAACTCACTAGTCACGATGGATGAATCAGTCTGTGGATGAGTAGGTGTAGTTGATGTTGTCGGTTCGGATGATTGACTGGACACTTCGGACGGAATGTGTGTGCTGGTTTGTGAAGTGGATGGCTCGGTTGTGTGATCCGATGGAACACCTGACGTGTATGCAAACAAATAAACAGACAATCAATTCTCAGTGAACATCAACTCTATGTGGTTTCATTGACTGAAACAAGTGAACATCATTCGAGTGAAACGAACACCACTCACACCACTCACACCACTCACAACACTCACACCACCAGTCACGTCCACACTCACTGGTTCGACCCACACACTACTAATCACAATACCGAGTCACCTCTCACCGATCCATATCTGACCGCATCGATTTGCATGCAACACTCGTCACTCATCTCCTACTTGAGAATTCAAGCACAACGTCCAACCACACCGACACAAACGATCAGCGTCCGTTCATCGGTGTGTTGCAGATACACACAACCCAAACACATGTGGATCAGTGGAGCACTCTTCAACCTACAATCTCTCCAATGTGTCATGTCAGTAGAGCCGTCAGTCGTCAACTACACTGTCTCCACCCACTCAATAATTCAATCACTCAATCACTCACTCACTCACCCACTCATTTTATCATTCACTCACACTGACGAACATTCACGCAATAAAACACACACTGTACAAGTGAATTCTCAAACCTCAAACACACACATTGCACACGGATTTGAAGTGCACACACAACTCGTGTGCAATCGACTGATGCTCACGTGACCGTCGGTGGTTGTGTTGGACGAGTGTTCTTGTCGCATTGTTTCACGTCACCGAAACAACCAACACACAACACGCAACACAAATAATCCAATACCAATCACCCAAAACACAAACACACTCACACAGACACACACGCACACAAGCATGCAACCAATGCTGAAATACACATCAACTAATGCAAAACAATCATTGAACTCACTAGTCACGGTGGATGAATCAATCTGTGGATGTGTTGGGTCGGCTTCTGGAGAACTTCAACGGAGCCTCCAGAGGCCTAAAAGAAGCCGAAGATTCCTAGCCAATCAGAGTGTGATGGATCGTTTGAGAATTCCAGCGTGGCGTGCTATCTTTGGTCGGTAGCATATTGTAACGTTAACGTATTGGCTGAAAATATGATGTTGATTTAACAGACGCCAACATCTATAAATACCCTTGAATTTCTGTAACAAATGAACCTTGGAATTAAAAGTGTTTTTCTCTAAATCTTGTGTCTTCTCTCTGGAGTTCAAGTCGCTGTGTAGTTCTAGACTGCGGGTTACCGGGATAGCTTAGGAATCGTATGTGGCGTTCAACCTACACGACTTATCAGTGGCGACGGGGATGAAAACTACAATGAATATTTCCTTGGAGCAATTAGAAGCTTATATGGTGCGTTAAGAAAAGAGGTTTCAAGAGTCCCAAATTAGAACCATGGAAACCCTGATGCAGAAATTCTGCCTGTCCGAGAAAAACCCTGCTTCTAGTGAATCTCAAGTATCAAATACCGATTCAGTCATTAACGCCATCCATGACTTTAATTTTGATGGTGTAGCAGGTGTAACCTTCGAGTCGTGGTTTAAGAAGTATGAAGATTTGTTTTATATTGATCTTTGCAAACTGGATGATGCTTCAAAAGTCAGAATACTTCTTAGAAAACTTGAGACTATGGAACATGAACGCTATAGCAACTTCATTCTTCCGAAGAACCCACGAGATTTTAGTTTCGATGATACAGTCAAAACCCTATCCCAAATCTTCGGAGAACAATCATCTCTATTTAATATCCGTTACCAGTGCTTAAAGTTAACGAAAGAACCAGGAGATGATTGGGTGAAGCATGCAGGAACTGTGAACCGAGAATGTGAGAGGTTTAGATTGTCGTCCATGTATGAAGATCAGTTTAAATGCTTAGTATTTATCTGCAGCCTGCGTTCACCCGAAGATGCCGATATCCGAACCAGAATCCTAAGCAAACTCGAACACTGCCTTAACATGACCCTGCAAGAAGTGACTACTGAGTGCCAAAGGTTGGTAAACTTGAAGCATGATACCTCAATGGTAGAAAATGGTAACTGTTTCCATAACGTCAATGCAGTCAAGAGAAAAGTCTTTCAAGGTTCCAGTACCCATAATTTTTGAAATAACAGCGACAAACCATCATCTCCATGCTGGGCAGGTTGGCACTATAAGAGGTTTTGCCCATTTAAAGAACATCGTTGCAGCAAATGTCATCGGAAGGGGCATAAAGAAAACTTCTGCAGGAGAAGAGACCATAGACAACATTCCTTGAAATCTTACTCAAAGAAATACAGATATAGTGCTCCAACCAACAAGATATTGGTATCACATAACACAGCACGAAGTTGCCGCCGAAGAAAGTACGTAACCTTGGATATTAATAAACACCGTACTCGCCTTCAGCTTGATACAGCGTCTGATATTACTTTAATCAGCCCAGAAACATGGAAGAACATTGGAAGACCCACAGTTTTCCCAACAACACAGCTGGCACACAGTGCATCTGGGGGTAAGTTGAATATTGTTGGAGAATTGCCACGCACTGTTTCTAAAGGTACGGTAACAACAAATGCAACATTGTATCTTACTAAGAAGCCAGCACTAGACTTAATGGGGTTGGACCTTATAAAAACACTTAAACTAGCAGATCATTCTATCAACAGTATCTGCAGACGAGTAAGTACAGAAAACACCCCAGAATGGAATCAGAAAAACGCCATGCTACAAAGACACCAAAACGTGTTTAGAGAAGGATTGGGAGAATGTACGAAAGCCAAAGCACTGTTAACTCTAAAACCTGAAGCTGCTCCCGTTTTTCGACCTAAAAGACCCGTACCATATGCTGCTCTACCAGTGGTTGAACAAGAACTAGAACGACTTCAGAAACTGGGTGTCATTGAACCAGTGAATTTCTCAGAATGGGCCGCACCGATAGTAGTAGTAAAGAAGACTAATGGTAGCGTTCGTTTATGTGCCGATTACTCAACCGGGTTGAATGAAGCCTTAGAAACTCATCAGTATCCATTACCCTTACCTGAAGATCTTTTTGCTAAACTGAACGGAGGTAAGCTTTTTGCTAAGTTGGACTTATCAGAAGCTTATTTACAAATCCCTGTTGCTGACGAGTCTAAAAACCTGCTTACCATAAACACACACAAGGGTCTATTCCGGTATAATGGATTACCCTTCGGAGTCAAGACGGCCTCATCCATATTTCAGCAAATAATGGATACTATGCTACAAGATGTTTCAGGTGCTGCAGCTTACTTAGATGATGTAATAATTATGGGAGTAGATAGAGTAGACTTAGAAAAGAAGCTTGACCAGGTGCTGACGCGAATAGCCGAATATGGACTTCGACTTCGTCCAGAGAAATGTGACTTCTGTATGCAAAAAGTACGCTACCTTGGGTTTATAATCGATAAAGATGGAAGAAGACCAGATCCGGAGAATACCCAGGCAGTGAAAACTATGCCCAGACCGACGGATGTCCCCACACTACGATCCTTCTTGGGACTAGTTAGCCATTATGGAGCTTTTATTCCAAACCTTCATCAATTATGTGCTCACCTGAATAAACTTCTGGTGAAGAATGTAAAATGGAGTTGGTCTGCAACTTGCCAAGCTGCTTTCGATGAAATCAAGAAAGTTCTAGTCTCCGATCTGCTGCTCACCCATTACGACCCATCCTTACCTATTGTAGTAGCATCAGACGCATCAAACTACGGCATTGGAGCAGTTATTTCTCACATCATGCCAGATGAATCCGAGAAAGCGATATCACATGCGGCTAGATCATTAACGCCAGCAGAACGTAACTATAGTCAGATCGAGAAGGAAGCATTGTCGATTATCTTCGCTGTCAAGAAATTTCACAATATGATATTTGGACGTCAGTTCACCCTATTAACTGACCATAAACCATTACTAGCCATCTTTGGATCGAAGAAAGGTATACCTGTATACACCGCAAACAGACTGCAACGTTGGGGCACTACACTCTTCGGTTATGACTTCAAGATCAAGTACCAGCCCACTACTGACTTTGGACAAGCTGACGCTTTATCTAGACTGATTGGTTCACAAGTAAAACAGAAAGAAGACACTTTGGTGGCAGCAATCGAGACTGAAACAGAAGTACATCGAGTTTTGGAAGACGCAGTTGATGGTTTACCGGTTACTTTCAAGGCCATCAAAGAAGCCACGGAAAATGATAAGACTTTAAGAGAGGTTAGTGGTTATCTTCTCACCAAGTGGCCGAACCATCGTTTTGAAGGAGAAATTCTACAATATTTTCGCCGAAGGGACTCACTTATGATGGTCGACTCATGTATTATGTTTGGCGACAGAATTATTGTTCCAAAAGTATTACGCTACAAGGTTCTGAAACAATTCCACAGCGGTCATCCTGGTATCAATAAGATGAAAGCATTGGCTCGAAGCTACGCATACTGGCCTACGATGGATCAAGATATCGAAAACAGATGCCGCAATTGTTCATCGTGCCTACAAGCAGCCAAAAGTCCAAGCAAGTGTGAACCGCAACAATGGGAAAAGCCGAATAGTCCCTGGGAGAGGCTGCATGCAGACTTCGCCGGTCCAATACGAGGAAGAATGTATCTAATCATAGTAGACGCGCTCACAAAATGGCCACAAATCTACGCCATGGTGAATTGCACAGCCAGTGAAACAATCAGCAAATTATCCGACCGGTTTAGCTGCTTTGGAGTTCCGCAGACGTTAGTGACCGATGACGGCTGACAAATCACTGCAGAATCACTCAAGCACTTCTGCAACGTTAATGGCATTGTGCACATACGATCTCCCCCGTATCACCCTCAATCGAATGGCCAGGCAGAGCGCTTCGTGGATACATTGAAGAGAGCACTTTTGAAAGGGGGAGGAGAAGGGACAACCAGGCAGGTGATCGCAAAATTTTTAACATCCTACAGATCCACTCCGAACCCGAATGTTCCAGACGGCAAATCTCCCGCGGAAGCCATGTTTGGAAGGCGCATTCGAACCGTCTTCGATGCCATGTTGCCATCCAAATTAGTGGATGAGCGTAGTCACGATCCAAATATCCGGAACTTCAGTGTTGGCGACAAAGTTTACATTAAATCCTACATCGAGAAGAACCGATGGGAGCCGGGCGAAGTTGTGCAAAAACTGGAAAGAGTACTGTACAGAGTTCGAGGAGCTTTTGGGACGTGTATACGTCACACAAATAAAATCCTTAAAGACAAAAGAACGGTGCAGACTCGAAGTAACCGGCCGATTTTCCCGTTAGAATTAATCTTAGACGCACCAATGCCACGAACGCCCAGGAACATTGAAAAGAAGCCTT